AACACAACCACACGCTGCATAGCAATAAATCGATTAAACTGTTATTTCCTCTCGTGAGTCGAAGGAAGCAAGTACAATAAAATGAGCGTCATTTAATTGAGTACTTAACATGGTCTCGGATAAAATTTATTTGCAAAAATTCATCACAAAGAATCAAAAACGCCGAAGTGTGTCAGCATTTTCCTTCAATCCAACTAAGAGGGGATGTCAGTATCCATGGAACAAATTTGAGACATTTTGGCAAGTCACCCAAATTCCGTTTTCACTCCTACTTTAATATTTTGTAGCCCAATAAGTCCTAATAATTGTGGTGCAGCTTTTTTGGGAAAATATATTTTAGTTTTAGAGAAATGACTTTCCTCGTTCGACCGCTGAAATATGCAAATTTCCACCGTGAATATTACTCGAGTTGTGTGACCTCGTGTAACGAATATGCTTGACCTCCGGTATTTCTGTTGGCATAATCCTTTGTTTTATTATCTAAACTTAACCCCCTGTCACTACTGAAGCTGGCAAAGAAAGATTTAGTTTTTGGTGAATACTTTTGTCCGACATACTTTTCCTTTGTCGAAAAGTAGCATCAAAACAAAGACAGTTTTAACAATGACCGATATAACAGAATCTACTGAGCTTCCAGATTACAACAGACAAAAGGATGGTTATAAAGTAACTGTAAAAATTTCCTTGTGTATTTGTGTTGTTCTATCTTGACACGAACTCAAAGTCCGGCAAAATTTACTTGCTAGTGACTATTAAATATACATGGTGTGCTTACCTATCGCCACCGTTTTCTGGCATAAATCTCTACAATCTGTAAAAAAATCTAACATAACACTCTTACTTTGTTTCTTTATGATTTTATTAGCTGTTTCGATTATTATAATATGCCTGGGTATTGCTGTTTGCCAGGAGCCTTCATTTTGCATTGTGTTTTCCCCTTCCTCATTTATATCATAGGCTATTCACGCAATAATTGATACCGACACAAATGAATATTTACCCGGTATAAAGATTTTTGTTTATGTTGCACAGAAAATATTAGAATATGTGCTTTTTGAGGTCACTAATTGTTGTTTCAGTGCCT